TTTTTTCATGTTTTAAATTATTTCAAATATCAGTATTCAACGTTTTATGTTAAAAAAAAAACATTAGGCCTATTTATGCATCTGAAACTGCAGTTTAAATGCATCCATGTCCCCTCTGAGATACATAAACTGTGTAAATACATCTAAATGCTATTTCAGATGCAGATTCCAGAAATGTTTTCTTGCGTTGGAATGAAAGACACTAAGTACTAGATGAAGTGCTTCTTATTCTTACCCAAAAATACAAAATGGAAGAAAGAGTTAAAACTGAACACAATCTTGCTACTCAAGCTGTGTATGAACATTTTTTATATATATTTATTTGCTTCTTTTCCATTTTGCATTTACTTGTACTTTTACTTTCAATACTTAAGTACGTTTAAGATTAAAAAAATACTTTTCGTACTTAAGTACAATAAATATCACATACTTTAAGACTTTTACTTTTAGAATAAGTAATATTCTAAATGGTGACTTCAACTTCTACCAGTCATTTTCTGGTAAGATATCTGTACTTTTACTTGAGTATGGCTTTCAGGTACTTTATACACCACTGGTTGAATTGCTGTCTCACCTCATAGAACTTTATATAACACTCATCCCAAGGATTCCAAAACTTTTTTTGTCAGTCAAAATATGAACTTTTTTTTTTTTTTTACATTTTGATAATTTAATTGTTAGCTTTTATCAACTCACAAACCCGCAGGTATGAATAGTTGGTTCCTGCTGTGTCTGTGTTAAATATGGAATGTTTCTTCTAAACTGATTCCCATGAGCTTCACATCGCTACTCCATAAAACTGAAATTGAAACCTAAGACAATAGTGCAGCATTTTATAAATAAATTGTGTGCAAACTGACCTGATACACCACATTTTCCAATATCTTTAAGAGACTAAGAGAAGTATGAGGTTGTGAAGAGCATGTGGTTCAGATGTGAAATATTTTGGAGGCATTTGACCTATGCCGTAATTTATCTTGAAAATAAATATTTCCATGAGGCTGCTCAGGCTGTCAGATTGTGAGGGGTCTCGCACACCAGCATTATGTTGGAGATTGCAGGCAGAACAATCACACCTAGCATGGCTGTCTCTATCCTCTACTACCCCCATTATGAGTGTTTACATTGAATCTAATACTGATTTTCCCAGGAGGAAAAGGACCAAAAATATTAGGCTACAAGGCAAAAGTGCAGAGACAGATTTTTCAATGAAGGATAATTGTCCAATGATACAGAAAATGTGACTCGATAACAGAATACAACCCCTCATCTTCCTGGAGGATCCATATAAATGATCTCAAATAATCATCCCATCAATATTTCTGTTAGACAACAAGGACAATGTCACAAGAGAAGCATTTAGAGCTAAACAATGCCAGAGGATGTGTCAAAAAAAGTGTTACTGTGTCAAGACACAAAAGAGGCATTATTTGAATAAACATCTTTGTTTACCAATAACAACAATCAACAATAACACGACCATCATAATGAATAGCAGTCCTGCTTGTTTAACACAGCGGGGGTTAATTCAATCAGTAAACTCAAACCATTGTGGGTGAAACTAACTAATTTAGAGCTACTCATTTCAGACATCTAAACAGAGATGCCACAACTAATTAAGGCACTAATGGGACAAACCGCTTTCCCTGTGACATGATTATGTGCTACCTAATAATGATGTGGGGAATCTGCAAGACGGCCTGGTTCAAGGTCCCATGTGGGAAGGCAGGTATGTCATGGGTGTCCTAGTATTTAACCTGTCCACCAATAAGCCGCTTTGCCTCGACTCCATCACACTGGCACTTTTACGAGTGCACATGAAAGAGATTAACGACTACGTCGGACGGGCATCTAGAATGCAAATGATTCACCTGCGCATTCCCCGTGCGACATGCTGCCATGCTGCAAATTATGGGACGTTATTTACTTGCTTTGCAGATGCCCACACAAAGGGCAACTTAACATCGCAAACAGCTTTACATATGGACCATTTAAACCAAACCGTAAGGCACCTCCTTTTAACCTACACCCCTTCAGCAGCACATTGCCTCTGAATCATTGCACCGTTGCACTCCAGAAGCCCTGCTTGGGGAATTGAGCAGTTCAGTTCCTTGATAGCGCACTGAAAAAGATTAAGCCCACATTTTATAAGACTACTTCCTGGGAAGTAGTATATTTCCATGATCTGACTAAGAAGAAAGTGTTGTGAAAGGTTTGGAAAATGCTCTTGATATGAAGGGCTGAAGGGCCTCTATAGCAATACATAAGTCTGACAATTCTAAAGTCTGCAATACACTACTATACATTTGTACAGATTTTTGCCCTGATTTGCAATCTGGATGGATCAGTGCTAGTTGCTGAAAGTCAGAGACAGTCTGCAGAATTTGGGAAGGTGGAGTTGACAGATTTCACAGAAAATGGCATGCTGTATGATGGACAAAGACTTTGATATTTTAGCTTCATACCATGAATCCATCAAGCTTGAGGATATGAAATAAGCTTGATATTTTAGAACAAATATTGTTTGTCATGTGTCTCCAAGCAATAAGACATATATTTCTGTGTGAGTTTGTTGTGTTCGGAATAACTTTTGGGAAGTGTATGATGCCTAGTGTTTTAAAATCTGTTCCATTTTTAAAAGTCATGTATTGTATTCTAGCCTCAAGTAAAAAACTGTTTAAAAAAAAAAAAAAAAAAAAAAAAAAAGGTTTTTGGTGATAATGTATCTGTTTAGAGTGCAATATCTACTTCTGAACAGTCCAACTTCATACAAACACACGCACACACAAAACAATGTGCCACCTCATCCACACATTCATTTTTGATTTGTTTATGACTATCATGTTTGCTCTCATACAACAATACAAAAACACACTTGGCCTCGGTGCTCTCCTGCTTGTAGAAATCTAGAGAACATTGACCTTTGTCATGTGCGATCAGAGCGTTTTCGGTCAGAGTTGCTGTCAAAACACTCTGCAAACATGCAAAAAACAAAAACAAGCTTGACTGAAAACCACTGAATAGGCACCTCAGCGATTATGCATATTACCCAGAGACACTGATTCCGGTCCTCTTCAGTTTCTGTGATGGGTAGAGTGCAGTGGGTTCTCTGATAAGCATGGGGAAAACACAGAATCACTCACTCATATTTGTTCGCAACATCTGAATTTAAATAAACCAAGCAAAAAATAAAATAATAATAATTTTATATATATATATATATATATATATATATATACACTGCAACCTATATGTTGCACATACATGGGCTATAAATGATTTCAGAGGCTTTAGTTTGACAGGACTACATTGGTGATTCTCCTAAAGCAATAATAATCAGAGCAAATGATTCCTCTGTTATTGTAATAGTATACTGGCAATAAAAAAAATAAAATCTATAAATATTTTTAAAAACGATTAAAAAGCTATTCAAGATGATTTTGCTAGACAACTGCATATGGGTAAAATATTCCTATTTGACCCATATGAACAAAATCTTAAAATTCTCTAAAGTCAGTAATTTCAAAAACCTCATGCATCAACAAAATAAAACAAAAATGTACAAACAAAAGGCTTGTGGACGAGCCTAAACATCCAGTCTATTTTTTGTCTTCATCCATCCAATGAAAATTATTACTTCCGTCAGTCTGGTCAATGTGTTTTTATGCTTGAACAAAATATTCATTTTTAGCTTGCTTAGTCTAGAAATATTATTGAATACTGATTTTTTTGTTTTTCTTATTCCATGTCTTTGGTTGCTCATGCTGCAAAATGGAAGGCACTTGTTTGTCAAAGGGGCCGAGAACCTTGTCCATTTTGACATTCACATTCTAGCAGTAATGATCCTAAAAGCTGCAATTAAGCTGACTGTCACATCCCGGGGAGCACGCGAGCAGCAGCACAAGGCCTTGTCCTCGAGAGCTGCATCCATTGCGCCTGCCCAGGAATATTCCCTCAACACATAATTTTTCCAACCCCCCTCTCCTTTTCTCCTCACCTTCCCTGTTCTTTTATTACAGCCTTCATCTAGATTTTTGTAGTGGCCATGCACATATATGTGGTGTTTTTTTTTTACTGAATGTTATGTTTTTAAAAAAACAATATGCATTATTTATATGCGTAAAAAAGCTTTTAATTCAATTCAATTTAATTAAATGTAAAATGGACTACATTTTCATCTGTTTTGTGCCTTTGAATAGACTGATGTTCTAAAGCAACATCATGTTTTATCTGAATAAAAATTTCCAACGGTGATCAGATCGTTCCCTGTTGATTCCTAAAAGAGTAAAACAGAAATGCAGTCAAAAGCAAGCAGCTGGAGTGCCATGACTTATTATTTCTCTTTTTGCGTTTGATGCCTGGGCCCACTCCTCTGGGAGATGAAACGAAAACTCTCTGTTATAAAATCATGAAAAGGATATGGACAACACCAGGTGGGCAAATCTATCAAAACCCCCGGCATACACACATGCGAGGGTATGCACATAAAGGGGGCAAAATCATTTTAATTAGCTGAGTGAATGTGATTTGCTGAATGCGGGGAACTAGGCTCTGCATACATTAAAATTGGTCTAATTTTCTGCAAAAAGTCCCATCTGAGTGGACCTGGCCACAGTCAATCAAGTTAAAAGCTACGGGTGCTTAATTTGATTTACCAATATAAAATGCAAATGAGGTGATTAAGTGGAGAGGGGAGGCAGAGTAGGAGCCTCTTTTAAACCATCAAGTTAAATGTGAACAGACATCGGACTGGCAGCAGCAAGAATGTTTTAGCATATTCGTTTGATTAGAGGTACAGAAATTTAATTAGTGTGGCTAATTGCTTGACAAATTGCAGCACACTCCTGAAAAGGCAGATTTTTTTTTTTAACTGTGTAAAACCCCCTCCGTGTGGAAATTTTGTCCAAATGGCCCCTATGCCAATATGTGAAAAGCATAATTAAATAAATGGAAGAAGGCACAACAGTACCTTACAATAGCAAATGAGATAATGCCTGTAATTAGGCGGGACACAAGTCTATGTCCATATGCCATGTTTCTCTTCAGCTACTCTCCGTTCCTCTCATAGGACAAATCTAATAAGCCTCCTTAACTAGGTGAGGCTCTCCTGGGAGACTGAAGAGCTGTCGGTCTGAGCCGTAGTACTGGAGCACTAATCAGGTATGACGCATATAGTCAAGCCAAGCTCCTGTGCTACAACAAACATGTTTTATTTTGTTTTGCACAAAATGCTATATGTTTATGTGGTATATTACTTTTCTTATATTATTCTCATAAACGCAAATAGTCTCTCTTACATATAATTATTTACTTACAAAAACATACAGTAGCAAAACATTTTCTCATTTTCCTTAACAAAATAACAGAATGACGGTGGATGTTCTTCATACCTTTTAGCTCTTTAGTATGTTGTAGTCTCAGCCTCCAAAAATTGGCCATCCCATTCTGATTGGCTGGCTATAAAGCAATGTCCGGCAGCCAGGGTTCTCCAGTGCACCTGGAAACGAAGATCTGTTTACAAGAAACTGTGCTGATAAAGCAAGTGCTTTAAAGGAAAGTTTAAAGACTGTAGAGAAGTGGTCAAATGCTTGAGGCATTAAGTAGTAAGGTATCCACAAGTCAAACTCTTGGCCAGGGGGTCTTGGCCAGAATAAGCTGCAATTCATGATAAAAAAAGTCAGGTTATCCAGTATAACACACAATTGTTGTTTTTAACAGTGAAGGACAATTCAGAAAAGCTTGCTTACTTGCTTACATTTCATTATGCCCCAAATTCGTGAGTAAATTCCAGCCAATATTCTTTACATTATTGTTTTATTACTTTTTTTTAACTATCCACGCAGTAGCCTACAGATTCATAATCATGCACAAGCATGAAAATATAAATATAGGCCTATAATTGTGCGATTAATCCTATAAGGTCCAGTTTTATTACTCTTTCAATGCCTTGTTTCTCTTATTGAATAGAAGAAACGTATAATTACATTAACCCACCATCATCAGTTGTAGCCTATACTATTGTAGCAGCTACATATTTTGTTTATGATAAAAACACCAAATAGCCTACTATAAGATGTATTTAAAAATCGATTACTGTTATCATAAATATCTAATAGCCTACCTTGTAGTCCTGGAACAGATGCCTTTGCGTCATGACATAGTTAATTGTACGTATACCCTGGAAAAGAGCCTGCAAACATGTTGTGTTTGCGCTGCATTAGGGATTAATCATTTTAATAAACTTGTATCAGGAACTGCAGAAAGATATCGCACTACGTGAGCAACAACAGCAACGAACATTTTCCGAATAGTAGAGATTTAACAACAGTCGCATCAAACTACGCAGAAGCAGCGTCACTACGTAACCGCGCAGCCGGTGTTACGAGATTTTTGGTTTCCGAGATTTTCTGTTTCAGTGGGCGGGGCAGCCATGAATATTCATGACTTTCCCGGACATGCGCGTGGAACCAGGTGGAACTGAGAATTTCAGTTCACGCTCCTTGTATTTCAGCAGGTTTAATGGGATATATATATATATTTTTAAAAAGGTAGATATATTTATAGTGTTGCGCAAACTACATTTGTTTATCATTTCCTAACAGTTTATAATGTTTTTATTAGTTTACAGTGCACGTTTTGTGCAGTCGTCCCTGACTGAATGATTGCAGACATTCTTTGTGTAATGTTAGGATAAAGCACAGCAAACTTCAGTTGTAGCCTATACATTGATTTCAGTTCTTTGTGCTCTTAATTTCTAGCTTGCGATGCTTTAAAACGGTTTGTAAAATTATTCCACAATATTAATGTTTTTTAATATTTTTAATTGATGCAGTTGATGACATGAACAAAGAACCGTACTAATACAAATCCTTAGAACAGTATTTTATATATCATATAAAAACAAGCACAAGCACACTCACACTTATGAACATTTGTTAATGAAATTATTTTTTAACATGAAATTAGTTTCTTATTCCATTCCATAAAATGCAGTGAAGTAGGGGTGTGCGATATATATCGTCTACGATAATATCGTAATTGTTGTTTTAATCGTAACACCGGCAATATTTTTTCGCATCGAGTGAAGAGCTTCAAGGTGATGTCTGTTGATAAAAAGGTAAGAGTACGAACAAGTGAAAAGTTATAATTATTTTTGGTTTCTACTAGTCGAGTTCTTACAAAAACAGCTTTACTGTATATATTCGATATTAACATTTACATATAGAATCTTTTTGGATGTTGTAAGCCTACTTTTCTGAACTGGATTCTTCCGTAGTGTTAGCTATGATGAATGTGTTTAACAATGCGTTTATCACCTTCCTTAATACATTACGCAAAAAAGTAACTTTGCTAGGATATGTTTTGTTTTGGTAGTTGTGGTGCAATGTATCATGTTTTGTTTCCGTTAGAATTATTTAATCATGAGATATTTTATGAAGACATTAAATATATAAATAATTAGCCTACATGTAATATATAAAGTTTTTTGCTTGATCAGCCATGACTTGCTATAGTCAGCAAAGTCAGAACTTCTTTTTAGTCAGTTGCATTAGGGGTGGGGCATTCTCACTCTGGGGAGCATTTGATTGGATACAAATCTGTGTGGTGCAGGATGAGTCATGTATTATATTATATTATATTATATTATATTATATTTAGTGCTGTCAAGCGATTAATCACATCCAAAATAAAAGTTTTTGTTACATAATATATGTATGTGTACTGTGTATTATGTATATATAAATACACAAACATACTGTATATATTTTGAAAATATTTACATGTATATACATTTATATATTTATATTCTTATATTTTATATATAATATAAAATATAAGAATATAAATATATAAATGTATATACATGTAAATATTTTCAAAATATATACAGTATGTTTGTGTATTTATATATACATAATACACAGTACTATTATATTATATTATATTATATTATAGGTTGTGAGATTCTGATAGTGTAATACTGTTGCTGTATAATGACTTTTTCAAACTGGTTTCACTCATTTCAGTGAAGCAAGTGCTGTTGTGTTTGGGCAGGTTAGGATGCTTAAACAAACAGACCAATGTTTTGTTTTGTTTTTTAACAGTGTTATATTATAGCCTACTAATGTTTTTATAAAGTACAAGTGTGAGGATGCACTTATCATTTACAGTCATTCACAGCCATAATCTAAGATGGCATATGGTTATATAAATTTTGAATATAAATGATACAAACTCACTGTTTTACTTAAACATTTGTGCTTGACTCACTTTCTATAAAAAGTCACAATATGGTCTACAGTTATCTTACTGGCTTAAATAATGGTCTACACGTAACATTTATAACATTAGCAATTAGATTAGATGAAATATGACATGGCAGTACTACATTTGAAGGTGTCCCACTTTTTGCATTAGGCTCATTGTCACGCAGTGTTGGTTAAGTGTTACTCAGTCACTCACCTAGTCACCTTTGCTCATTATTGTTCGTGAATAGCTTAAAATGTTCTGTGACCTATTCATTTGCATTTTCAAGTAGTTTACTTAAACTATATAAACTGTACTCAGCAGACAAGAGTTCATTTTTTTCCTGGGTATCACATGCATTGTCAGATCAATTCAGATGAGCTTGTTCCTGAACTTTCTTTGCGATAAATATGAAGTGATGGCAATAAAACGGTGTGCCTCTTGTTGTTGTTAGTAGAAATGATTTGAGATGGAATTTTACAAGCGAAGGTTTTTGACATGAAAGTACATGTGCCTTTACAATTAGACTCAGTTTTCATTGAAGACAGCCCTCCATCTTCTTTGAGATAATTATGGTGTTCAGAAGACAGTAGTAGAGATGATATCACCTAAATAGGTAGATATTGGATGTACCCTGTCAGAGATAATGAAATGTTGAAGAGTTTCTCATCACTCAAAGCTAAAAAGGCAGAGAACCGGCACTAAATAACAAGTTTGTAATAGAAAACCCAACAACTTAGGCTTTGTTTGAACAAGGTAATGAGCACTGTCATTTTAAAGATACATACTCCATTCTGATTGACGACAACTGGTAAATCCTGATCAGACTCCTCATTTACATATGTTATATGTCATAAATGTCAACATCTAAATTACAACACCTTGTGCTTACGTCAGTCACTGTCTACATGACATTCAACGAATCTTATTTTGGCATGATTATTTTGAAGCAAAAACATCTCAATGCCTCATGTGTAACCAGGGAAATGGCTGTAACATTTGAGGCAGATTTTCATTTAGGCTAAATGTCAAAAAGTAAACTGGCTACCAAGACACAGGGCTACAACAGACATTCTCAGCGCTCTCTCAAAATGGACAAAAATTGCAGCTGTGTTAATAGAGATAAAGACTGGCCTGCTGAGACATAAATGCCGTCCTTCACTGGTCTGACATTAAGGAGCACAGTGACTCAAATTGAGGTAAAATTGGATACCATGGCTCTCTCTCTCTGGTCATAAAATGTGTAGACTGTATTTAAAGATGCAATCAGTAATTGCCAATACACAACTACCATTTTCATTAAAATGTCTAAAGCTAGAAACAAAGCAATGGATTTGACAGCATACTTATGGATAAGAAGATTTAGAGTCTGTATGATTATTATGATTGCAACTTACAAAAAAAAAAAAACTTTATCTGGGTTGGTTTTGCAAGTATGTTTCATAATTTTGTTGTGTTTTTGTCAGAGCATTGACTTTTTGCATCTCAAACTAGTGTAGACCGAAGTCCCTTAAAGGGAAAGTTCACCCAACAATTAAAATTACCCCATGATTTACTCACCCTCCAGGCATCTAGTTGTATATTACTTTTTTTTTAATGATTCTTCTTTCAGACGAATACAATCAGAGTTATATTTAAAAATCTCCTGTCTCTTCCAAGCTTTATAATGGCAGTGAATGGGGTTGAGATTTTGAAAGCCCAAAAAAGTGCATCCATAGTACTCCACACGGCTCCGGGGGGTTAATAAAGGCCTTCTGAAGAGGCCTTCTCACTTCTCTGATGAGAAGGACAAACACGGAAGCACGGAAGAGAGAGCAAAACAAAAGACCGGTCATGAATTAGAAGTCCAATATGAGGATTTGCAAAGAAAAAGGATTTTGATATAAGCCAAGAGGAGATATGTTTTCCTTTGCTGTAAACAAAACTTGGTTCTCACGAGACTAGCATATTCTCACCAGAGTTTATGCTACGCCTCCGTCCTACGTCATCCACACAGTTAGTGGAAGCTATAGATTATGGTTTGTGAAGTTTTAAATATGGATGTTTTTCCTACACAAAGACATCGCTTTGCTTCAGTGGGGCTTTATTAACCCCCGGGAGCCATGCAGAGTACTTTTATGATGGCTTGAGGGCAAGCAAATCATGGGGTGATTTTAATTTTTGGGTGAACTATCCCTTTAATTTTGTAAAAGTTTTAAAGGTCATGCACTCAGAAGTAGACAGCCGGTGGTCTACTTACTGTAGAGAGGGGACTCTTGTACATATGTTAGGGTCTTGTCTTGAGCTGCTCTACTGAAGGAGCTGTGTTTAGAATATTGATAGGCACTACACTGAGAGATTGCAGGCCTCTTGTCAACAACTGACTAACATGAGCTGTTAACATGCTATTTTCAGCCTCTGCCTTTTCACTGTGGCATTCTTGTTAGAAGACCACAGAAAATCCTGTGTTTGTTCTCTTCTGTCTCTTCTTGAGGTAATCTTTTCTTTCCGTTTCTTTCTGTATTCCTGTATTGATGCAGCGAGCTCAACTTTCAGGAAAACCACACAGGCCCTTTCTATTGAATCCAATGCATCTTGACTGTCTATATGACCGGTTGAGGACTTTATATCAGTTTAACACTAATAAATACTCTGCATCATAATAGTTCAAACGTTACCGTAAACAATATTTTTACCATTCAAAAAGTCCACCAAGACCTTTATTCACATATTATTCGCATTAACCTTATGGCAGATTTTAGTACAAGCGGCATTTTCTTTCTTTCTCTCAACAGTTTTATGCAGGAAGGGAGGGACACATTTGAATAGACGACAGAGCACAAAAGCCATGTCTTTCAGCGCTGTCAGGGTGTTGATAAAAATCAGAAGAAAAGAGTCTTTAGGTTTGATGCCTAAGTGTGGACCCAAGGGTGCACATGACCTGTAAGTCTATAAGAAAGAACGATACTTTCCCATTTCCATTGTCCCTGGTCATATAAGATGAAACCCCTCTTTTGAATGTGAATGACATTATCATTGAATCAGATGAGTAGCATTAACATGTGTGTAAAACATCACTTATGTATGTATAATGTAAATATGTAATTTGTAAAAATAATTATTATGCT